AAGGGAGGAAAGCAGGTGAAAAACCCTTTTCAAAATCTGCTTGCTTGCTTTCATATGCACATCTCCTTTTGTAGGACAACTACCTAACCATAGCACACAGCTTCACCATAATGCCAGAAGGTACCAAAGCATTAGAGCACAGAAAAAGAGGAAGAGAAGATTCTTGACTGAGAGGTCTTGCTTCCCACATAGTGCTTATCCACTTTTGCCTGCTGTATCTCTTCATGTTGACATTTGTCAATATATCAGATAAAGAGTTGCAAATTGCTTCAAGTTTTATTTACTCAGAGCAGCTTCTCCCTTTCCCCAGTAACAGTTACATGAGGTTGTTTAACAGCTGGCTCCAAGTCACTTATTGAAACCAGAGATGCAAATACAACTGCTGACTGCTCTTGGCCTCTATTTAATACTCAAACTCTCCTTATGAAGAACCCATTCTTTGATTTCTATGTTTTTTTTTTTTTTTTTTTTTTCCCATTTTTATGCCCTTTTGGATCTTTCTAGAAAATACTTTCAGTTATAACTGCCCACACACATTTATTGTTAAAAGTTATACTTGGAAATCTATTACCATTAGACATTTTTTTTTCCCCTATCAGTTTCCCAGCTGCTGAACATTGGAACTCCTGTAAGTAATTCTTACCTCCAGCTTCTTGTCTGTTCTGCCAGCGAAGTCAGAGACTGTTTTAGCACATCATTTGTCTTTCTGAACTAACCATAATCTGTACCTTTTAAAGCATTCAATTCTAAAATACTAGCAATGTCCAATAAATGGATTTTGTAGCATTTGGAAGCATTTACATTGCTGTATGACTATTCTGAGTCAAAGAGGTCCGTATTTTTATGTGAAGCTTTTATCTACAGATTTTATTATTCCAGAGTAAGTAGATGGTATTAGCATGAAGCTAAATGTTATGTTTTGCTTTCCAGCTGCTGACTATCCTATGACTTGCCAAGGTGAGAGTTTGAGTATGCCCTCTGTAGCAACCTTGTACCATGGAACACTGATGTTGAAACATAACACGGTATGAGTAAGGTAGTCTTTTTCAGTACTTTGAGATACTGCTTTATCTCCGTTTCTCAACTTTAATTAGAAGGGTAATATTTTTTTTTTTTTCTTGTAATTAAGCTTCTTAAACAGAGCTATCTGGGCACCTTATATCAGCAAAAAACGAAGATAAGTACAACTACCTTCTTGATAATAAACAAAAGTCTGTTGCCTTTCACCTAAGGTTATTAAAAAGTAAGGAAATTGGGTGGCATGGAGGGAACAAAAGGACAACAAACACATCATGCACTTTGTCCTCTTAATGAATGAAATTATTCTGATGTGGCAAAGTGGTTTAGATTGTCTCAGTCACTGATATACTGATAGGTCTCTTTGCTTTAGGGCACCTTTTATAAAACATCCAGTGTTCAGGTTATTCAAACCATGATGTGGGAGCACTGGACATACTACTCCTGTGTACTGCTACTGAATGAATAGCACTGCTTCCTGCAGGAGCTCTATGTAAGTATTATCTTTGCCAGAATCTATTTAACTAATGAGACCTGAAATCAACTTGGTATGACTAAGAAGTATACTAAAGTATGCCTGTCCCTCAAGTTGTTTTCCAAGGTAATGCTTGCTGGACAACTTATATCTATCTATACATTTGACTATACAATTCTGAAAAAAAACCTACTAATTCCCTTTAGATATGTTTGGAAATAGGTACATTCATTGGCATTTAAATTTAAAATTCTCATTTTGCTAATATCTACTGATGAACAAATAAACTTTACGTCAATTCCACCTTCAGAGTTTGCTGACTGCTAGTGCCATAAACCCTTCAATTTGGAAGGTGGCACTCATATGTTAAAATGTTCAAACTCATTAAATTGCACTGACATAAACAACAGATGATTACATGTTGTGCTCAGCACTTCTCAGGGTCAAAGCCTAATTAAAAGACTGATTATTTTTCATAAAAGTTTTACAGATGTAATTTTTGCAACAGAATTTAACTGAAGATACACTCACACTTCTGTGAAGAGGTTCACTTCACTTTTTTGGAACCAGAGTTATTACCTAATAGCCACCACATGAAGTTTTATGTAAAATACTTTGATCTTTTCCCTTCTCTCTTGACATGTTAGTTCCTGCTGACAAGCTTCTTTATGAAGATAGCTAACACTGCATTAGGTATATATTCCAATATAAAATTGAACTTCTTTTTAGATGAAAGAATTCCTACAGGACTTGCTAGAAAAATCTCAGCAACACAATGACTGCTATGCAGGCTAGAAGGCATATGTTGCAGGACTTGTATTCTGCTTACATTCCGCTATTGTTCAATATTAATCTTCACTTTATGTCATAAAATGAATGTGTCATAAGGCTACACTATGGCCCAAAGACTCTTGTATTTATAGTGAACAGAATGACTAATATGTAAGTTTAGGCTTAGTTTCTCTCTCAATCAAGTCTGTGGGATTTGCAGTGTATACATGAGAATTTTTCTGATGCTGTTAACTGATGTTCTATTCAGCTCTTGAGGACTTATTTATAAACTAGAAAGAAAATCACATGTATGAAACAGTCATTTGGGAGTAAGCATTTTATTTTGCATGCATAAACACACTGTAACTTCATAATCAGATCTATAAAAACCAGAAGGGTCTTCTACTTAATTTTCTCCAGATCTAAATCAGTGCTAACTTAACCACACCGGAGAAATGTTTACGTAACTCATGACCACTCTCTGAAATTCTGCTACTTTTGCTGTCTGTCCATGCTTGCTTATCCTTCCACTAAAGTGTTTTCCAGTGCCTGACCTGAATCTCCCTTGCTGCAATGCAAGCCAATCTCTTCTTTTCCCATCATTACATCCTCTCTGTAGCAACTCTCTCCATATGGATTCTATTTTCCCCTCAATCAGCTCTAGAATGAAAAAAGTCCCAGTCCTTCTCCATTACTCCATTTCATAGGAAACACTTCTGAAATCTCTGCTTGTTCTTGATGCTCTCCTTTACATTCTCCCCGTCACCCTACATTTACAGAAGCGTCTAAAGGCAGCAGTTCTCAAGTGTGATGTATTACTGCTGCTAAAAAGAAATAAAGGGTTTTAAAGGTTAAGGGGAAAGCACTGCAGTATGTTAAAAATCACATGCAGTGCCAGAAAAATGATGAAATCTAAGTTTCTTCCAGCTCCTTTGTGACATTATTAAGAGGTGTACTCTAGCCACCTCTGTTTACCCTGTAGTTCCCACTGCTAAAAGGACATCTTGTGATCAGCAGAAAGTTGCCAGCAATGGCTGTGACTTACATGGAAAACAGTCAGAATACTGAATAGCAGGAAGAGCCAAGCCTGCATCCCTCCTTCCACCCCTTAGCTATTAAAATACTACAATTAGCAATTTTTTTAATGATTCTAAGTAAAGAAATTCATTTGTACTCATCTAAATTAATCTGCTATGTAGATGTATTTGACGTTGCTTCCCAAAGTAAAGTAAGGACGGTCAAAGGAAGCAAGTTTTTTCTAGACTAGACACATGAGGAAAACAGACTATTCATTGACAAGAACTACCAGCGTTTTGGACAGACAGGGGGAACACCTTACCAACGCTCTGACACTGACTGGATGATTTAACTGAGTCTGTTTGCAACAGGCCTTAATTCATTACAAAAAATGGAGCAGCAATTGCAAACGCTCTTCCTCCAGCCCAGTTTCCTAGATCTAGGCCAGCTGCTTACTAACACCCTTACAAATACACATCCCCATTTGCTCTTCGATCCTCATTTACTCCTTTCCTCTTTGCTGCTTACATGCCTTTGCAATCTTTTTTTATCATACTGTGGCGGTTTATTTATTTTTTTTTTTTTTTTTTGTTTTTTTTTTAATTATCTCACTCTATACTGCCATTCTAGATTTCCTGTCCCACGGTCATATTAAGACTTTTCTTTCTATTCCTCCAGCAAGACAGGCATGGCTGCTAACATTACAAATCTGCAGAGAAGCCTACAGGTCAGATCTCAGCTTGCAGTACAAGACACGAGTGCTGCTTTCACAGATAGTTGGGGGTATATGCCACAGGACAAAGAAGATAACCTTCTTATCAGTTTACATCAAATTTCTCTGAAATAAGTTAACTCAGAGGTTCTGCTGAACGCGGTTTTGCTACTTCGGACCCTCCCGACAAGACCTTGCTTCTGCTGAGGTTAGCAAGAGAAACCCCGTCCTTACCCACCAGAAATAAGTATTTGCAAACCGGATCGCCCTCCACCCGGGGCGGAGGCTTCCCTCTGCTCCCGGTGCGCCACGCACCCCCGCGTCACGGCCCGGCTTTACCAACACCTGCGGCCACGAGCCACAACGCCCCCCCCAGGGCTCTGCCTCCCCCGCCCCACCCGGCCTGCCGCTGCGTTCTCCCGCCGGGCCGAGGCCCGCCCCGCTCCGGCTCCAGCCTTCGTCGAGCCCCCCCGCCGCCCCCGACCAAGCAGCGGGCCCGCCTAGGCGGGAGCCCCGGCCGCCTGCTCATGGCGGGAGCAGAAGGCGAGCCGAACGGGCACGCCTGGCCCACGGCCACCTGGGGCTCCGCTACGCCCCGCCGGGCGCGTACGCCTTTAACAGCGTCCTCCTCTCGCCCCACGTGTGCGATCAGCTGATGGCGACGCCGCGCGGGGCGGGGCGAGCGCTCCGGCGGCGGGCTGGGATTGGCTGTGCCGCGGCGCCCCCCCCCACCCCCAGCCCCCCCCCCGCCGCGCGCCCCGCCGCCGCCACCCGCCCGCCCCTCTTCCCTTTCCTCCCCCTCCCCTCCCCGCTGCCCCCCCCCCCAACCCCCCAGCCCCGCGCGCGCAGGGCCGCTGCGGCGCGGTGAGGCGCAGGCGGCGGGCGGTTCTGACAGCGCGGCCGGGACAGCGCTGGCGGCCCCGGCCCCGGACCCTCCGCGGGCCCTCGGGGCGGCGGCGGCCGAGCCTCCCTCAGCCCTGCACCTTGCGGCGGCCGAGCCTCCCTCAGCCCTGCACCTTGCGGCGGCCGAGCCTCCCTCAGCCCTGCACCTTGCGGCGGCGGCCGAACCCCCCCGCCCCCAACCCCCGCCGCGTCGCCGAGGCCGGCGGTAGGAAGCGGCGCTCCCCCTGACGGCGGGGCTCCCGGCGGGGCTCAGCGCCGCTGTCAGCCAGGCGGGCGCCCGCGGCCCCGGTAGACCGCCTCGGCAGCGCGGCGCTCGGCGCCACCCGCTCCATGGATTACCTGGTAGGTTCCCCCCGTTTCCCCCCCGCCGCGCCGCCCCCCGCCGCCGGCCCGTCGGACATCTTACCGAGCGCGCCGCGGCGGCGGCGGCGGTCCCGGCGGGGTGTGTGTGCGCTGAGCGGGCAGGTGGGGCGGGGGGCGGGGGGGGGGGGGCAGGCTCAGCCGCGCTGCCTGGCCCCGGCCCGCCGGCCTGCGGGAGGGCGATAAACCGGCAGGGTTCCGCTGGAGCGTGCGGCGGCCCCGCTCATTTGGCCGCTATTAGATTGCTATAGCCGTGACCCGGGTCGCTGTTTTTTTCCTAAATGCATGAGCTTAGGGTACGCTTGAATGAACTAAATTGTCACCCAGGGCGGGATCAGCCCTGCGCCCGGGTTGCTGGTATTCAGGGTAACGTTTATAGCTTTTTAATGAATATTGGCTTTATTCGTCCGTGAGAGATCATATCGCGGGTTTGCGCTTTAGGCCGGGGTCATGGTCGCTGTTCAGACTCACCGACGTACGCTCGGCGGGTAAGCCCTGTGGCAAGGGCTAGGTCGTGAGCCGATGGCCGCTTTAGTATGGTGCCTGCTTACCTGGTCTTTTCAGCGTAACAGTGGGAGAGCGCGATGGGCACGTCCCATCACTCAAGTTTTATTTCTTTGAGTGCTCGCCTATAAACCGTGCCCCCTCCTTCGATGTGAGGTGCTGGGAAGAGTCAGCTAGAGCAGTAAGGAGTAAGTCTTTTCGGGCCATCCCTGTTCGCTGTTGGCGTCTGGTGCGACCGGTCAGGAGGTATTTGGGGTAAAGAAACTTGACTCAGCCTTTCTGATGTCTTCACATGAGATGTGCATGGGTGTAGACTTTCAAGAGAGGCTCATCAGCCAGTCAACAAAATCTCTAGGGAAGTTCTTTTTAGTGAATTGATTTGAAGATTTGCCATACTGAGATGAGAGCGGCATGCAGTGTCTGACTTTTCCTTCTCTGATATGAAATTAACTAAACCAGAAATATTTATTAAATTTTTACTTAAATATTCTTCTTCTGTCCATGTAGTTTAGATTTATTTTGTGTTATTCAGCTTTACACCCCAAAAATGCTTTTGGCTTTTTTTTCTGAATTTGAATAATACAGAAAGAATAGAATATGAGTCCTGTGCGGCAGAAATGGTAAGCTGACTTCTCTTTAAGAACCTAGTTAATGAAACACTGATAATAAACTTGCTGTGTGCCAAGTGCAGCCTTGTAGCTCCTTGAGAGCCTGGAGCTGTTTCTTAGATTTTCTCTTTTATAAACTTATATCCAGATGAAACTGGCCATCCTGTACTTCTTGAAATGCTTGCATTAACGTTTGTGACTGTTACAGGCTGTTGTGTGTAAGGCCAACTACTCTGAGAACAATAAATTTAATAAGCCTTGGAAACTGAGAGCATGTTTTTGTATTAACTAAAGGGGGGAGGGGATTAAATAGCTCTACTTTTTTTTTTTTTTTCCCTTACTCATTTTCTCCAGTTGATCCGTTTCCTCTTTTCTGTTGTGTGGCCACCTTTGGTGCCATCTCTAAAAAAACTGAATCTTCAGGATAGTGATATTCTGAGTGTTTAGGTGATTTTTCTTACTATTTCTGTTACATCAGGGAGTATCTCTGAAGGCAGACTTTCTCAAAGTCTCATCAATCTCACAGTGCATGTTATTGTGCCATATGAAACAGAAAGGATTATTTTAATGTAGAAGTTATTACAGGTCAGCCAGATTATTTTTATATAGATGGTGAAAGCCAGGGGTTGGGGATAATAGTTTAAACAGGATGCTGGTCCACTGATGCTCTGGGACAGTCTAAAAGGCCTTCATCTATCACTAGTTCCTGGGCTTTCCATACTTATACAGTAGGAGTCCCTTGATCTTTGGAATACTTTTTGCAAGTGGCATCAATTCTGTTAAGCCAAAAGAGAAAAAAAATAGGAAAGTTTTAGTTTTTTTTTGCATCTGTGTATAACTTGGAAAGAAAAGAAATTCTGATTGGCAAATAAAATATTTTCTTGTGTATTTGTGCAGAGGACTTCCACTTCCTGTCCTCATCTTCACCGAATACAGGAGGTTGGCCCTCCTTTACCTTTCTCTGCTAATGGTTTTAAATGGAATGGCTCCTCTTGGTAATGAGCAGTGGGTTCAAGCATGTCAGAAAGTCTGCTCTGACAGAAAGAATTGATGGTGGTGAGTTAGGCAACGAGTTGTCTACAACTTGCTTTTGGCCTGGATGACCAAGATGTTGCTACAGTCTGCCCTAGCATAAAGTTGGGTCTATTCTTTATTTATGCAAGACTTGTAGTTAGAGTGTAGATGTTAACCTATAGACGTACAACAACCACCTTGTTATTTTCATAACAGCAGTAGCAAAAAGGTGTACATGTTAAGGAATTCTGTGTTTAATGGATTTATGTTGGGAACTTGTAGCTATGTGGGCTTCAAAACTTCAGCAGGAGGTCCCTTTGCTGGTTTCTCATTTTTGGGCAGCCTGAAGGCAGTGAGGTTTTCTCCTCTGCCTTTAGTGTGAAGCAGACAGCAGAGCAGAAGCTGCAGTTGCTTCTGGTAAGCAGTCCCTTAACAGAGCATTAGACAAAATTTTGGATAGCAGCAGGGCTGAATGAGGGAGTTTAGTGGAAGTAGGCTAGGGTAACTGTGGGCAGGTTTGGTGCAGCACAGACTCATGAGTCATTCCCTCTTGATGAGGAGTCTACATTCAGCTAGCCCTTCCCAGACTTGCTTAAGGTTTTTTTCCTGATTTTTCCTGGACAGGGCCTACATTAATGGAGACTTTTTTTTTACTTTAAGGAGGTGATCCCAGGAAACACTGAACATCTGCAGCACCTGCTAATATCAGCAGGTTATTGAAAATGTTCAGAAGATGCTCAAAGCCAAGTCAGTTGAGCCAGATTTCTTTTCTGGCTCTGAAGCTTGTATATGGGTAGATACTCAGAACCTCTATGGGACCTTTCCTGCTTATAGTGTGATCTTTGATTCATGGCTAGTGCCATTTGATAAAGCAATGGTTCTAGGAGAGTATTTTCTGTGGTGCTCTGGTCTGATTTTTCATTGTAACAGAAGAGTAGCACTAGCCTTTGTATCTTTAAAAGCTAGAAGAGGCTCTTGAGCCTGGTGCCTGTTTTATTTTTGTATTGATATAATTGCAGTGTTAGGAGTGGTGTGGGGTTTTTTTTGTTTGTTTGTTTGGTTTTTTTTGTGTTGTTGTTGTTTAATCAACATAGCTAAACCAGATTGAGCCTGTAGAAAAGAATCCATCTTCACTCATTTACAGGCACCATACAGTTTATTATGCTTGTATTAAAGTTAACTCTTTACAGCATACTATGCAAACATAGCTGCATCAATGTAGATTTGTAGGTCTTTATGACTACATAATCCTGTGGTGTATCTGCAACCTTCTGCTGCTTCATTCTTACTCAATTGTGTCTGGAGGGATTATAGTGTATAAGTAGACTTCTGTTAGCTGGCCTATGTTCAGTGGACTATGCCTAATTTAAGAAATTACAGCATGATGCATCTTGTGAAAAGCATGGCATGTAACCAATCTTAACATTTTTGCTTGGAGAACTTGTGGGGAAACAATAGCAATGCTTCATTTTTTAATATGTGATACTTGCACTGCAAATTTTAAACTGCTGAGTAGACTTTCAGAATGTATTTCTTCATTGGGATCCTCTGTACTGGCTAAGGATCTTACATGGAACAGGTGCATGTGTCAGTGTGACCCGTGTAGAGCTTTTAAAAGCTACTTTAGAGGGTAATGTAGAAATTCAAATTGGTGTGACTTCACAAAAAAGGTACCTTGAAAGTTTGCAAGATAAATTTGATAACCTCTTTAATTTTTTATATTTAGCATCTTTAATATGATAGCTTATCCTTAAATTGTATCCTATACTATGTAGTATCTTGCTTGTACATAAGAATGTTTCTTGGGCAAGTAATGAAGAGTATATTGAGTATATTCCAACCTGAAATGGAAGATAACATTTCTTGTGTGAACAACAACATCAACTTCAGTGATATTTTTTTTTTTTTAAATTTTCTTAAAGTTAAGCATGTACATGAGTATTGCAAAGTCAAGAGAATGCACACTTTTAGTGCAGTAGAATCCTTGTTGCTTTGTAGGGAATTGTTTTTTAATTATAACAGGTTTGGGGTTTTTTGGTTCTTTGTACATTTGTTAGCTGTTACGAACTATTGTACCTCTATATGTCTGAACATAGAAGCTAAAATTTGGGTCAGTTTTGAGTTAATTGAACTAATTTCTCAAATTTTAGATGAATAGGCCTTGAAGTGACTTCAGAGTTTATTGGTTTGTGAATGGTCTTGACCTCAAGTTCTGGACAGTTAGTGTTCAGGCAAAGCCTTTCTTGGCTGGGGAAAGCTGTACATACATTTATTGGCCAGCTTACTTTTAAGACCTTCCCTCTTATTTTGTTGGACCCTTTAAATTACTTCCACAGGTTGGATTTAGAAAGTGGTAATACAGGATAGGTGATGATCACTTAATGATTCTCATCTACTTCAGATCCTGTCTTTCTGTTGCTGTTGCCTGTTACATTGTTTGGTATCTCCATACCATAGAAAACATTATTTCTTACACTACAAATGGCATTATGGAGGCATCTGTTTGAAGGTTAGAGTCTTTATTCACTGAAACTTTGTAAACCAGCAGATGCTGTTCTTTGAATATGGAAAAATGGGGGAAGGTTCATAGTAGGAACCCCAGATTTTTCCTCTGAGGTGTCTCTACGTTTTCAGTATATAAGGTGCAACATGAGCAACAAAGGTGTATGTAGAATTGCTTTCTTATTGTTTGCTAAACATCCCTCTCATCATATGAATTTTGTCTCTAGTTGTGTAATGATAAAGAGTATTTGGGCTGTCTCTTGACTCATCTATTGGTTGTAACATCCTTGAAATTTTACACCCTCTACAGAGCATAAGGGCTTGAATTTTAAGATACTATCCCTCCTTCAGTTT